AAAAGGGCCGACCTCTTAAGGCCCAAGTCCATAACGATAAATTTTTTATTTTTTTAAACAAAATAAAGCTCATTTAAATTATAACAAAAAAATATACAATTTATCAAATATTGATAAAAATATAATTATTAAATCAAAGTTTCACATTTTTTGGTAAAATTATTTGGACATTCAAATGAGACTTTTATATTTTAATTTGGACTTTATAATATCAACTTTATTATATTTGGAGCATTTTTATTTATATAATTGGCATTACATATGTTAACTTTATCAGTTACCCGTCGAAACAAGGTTTTCTGAACTATATTTTGGGAACTAAGCCAGATGAATTATAATCAATATGACTAGATCCTAATAAAATATAATTTTAAATATAGAAACCTTATAAAGGTGCTAACCTGACGCTCCAAAAATGACGGATGTCACAATATCCACACTTACGGCTTAGACAAGCTCAGAAAGCGTGTTCGTCTTTACAAAATCATATTGTAGTACATCCCCATTGACACACAAATACTCAAAACACATATTATAAAAATATCGAACTTTTCACGCATATATAACATATCAAAAATCTCGAGAAACTTCAAACAACTTGTGGATAATAGAGAGAATAAATCACGTCTAACACACCATACAGGTCATAACTCCAAACCGTTCCTCGAAGTTCCTCATGTTCTCCCAAAAAAAAAAGCATCAAACTTGTTGTGCTTCATCAAACCATCCTCATCTTTCACCTCTCTTATACGAGATTCTTTCCCCAAGAATTTGTCATCTCCATGCTTGAAGACCTCCCCATATATATACTTAATGCATGTGGACGGTTATGGGTAGATGAATAGCAAGAGTCTTGATTTTAAATTATTGGTCGTTTAAGCCCTTTGGCATACTATGTTATTTATTTTAGCATAAATGAAAATAGGTACAAACGTTCACAAATTGATATACAAAACCCTTAAAGATATAAAATCCATTTTTATTTAGCTAAATGAGATTCTTTTGTACAAGGTTTATTACAAACTCTCCCCCTTGAAAAAATATCGTCCTCGAAATTTGTCTTAAATAAATGACGGTGTTTTAATGTCGACTCCTTCTTAGGCTTTTATACATTATATCACTTCCATGATGTCATGTATGCTTAGACGTATATGCTTCATCCAACATTGTTCGTCTTTATTCCCCAATCCTTGGATCCGTACTTGCTTCAAATCTTATAATTTCAAATAAAGTTTCTTAACGTAAGCAATATGGGTGTGGTTGCCATACACACGATATATTTTTCGAAATAGACTGAACATGCCTAAACACATAAGAATCAACTTAACCTATAATTCTTTTATATCTATATCATCATGTAATCCGTGTTAATTTCATCAAACTTAATTGTATTTGGCCGATTGTAACTGTACTGCCATGCATCACTATATATCTTTGTCATCGACTATTTCAACTAATCCTGTGACATCACCATCATTTCATATTTATTACTTACCACTTTACTGGTATTCCTTTAGTCACTGTAACACAAAATGTCGGATTTTTCTTCAAAACTTACCTTCAACCAGTTAAAAAAAAACTATTGGTCCTTTATGTCCTTAAGCTCATGCACTTGCATTTTATTGAATGTTTTTTGTTACTAAAACCTCGTAATATTGATACACATCCATTTTTAATATGAGTATTCTACTATATCATTTTCTTAACTCTGATTTGGCAATTACCACCGCTAAATTTCCACCATATCTAATAACTCCACCATTTCATTCAACGATGGATCATAATACACGTGTTCCATTTTAATACTTTCAAATCATACTCGCATTAGTACTCATAGATACTAAGATGAGTGTGGAATCTATGATGTACTTGCTTATCTTCTCATCTTAAATTCTTTTACATTTTTCATCCATTCAACTATCTCCACTTTTGGTCTTACCTCCGCGTCATTCATTTATTCTTTCATGACATCCTAATATGCCATGAATACTTGTGTAACACCCCCGTCCCGCGTGGTCAAAGACGGGAGATGCCACAATTGGAATAAAAAAAACAACGCGCTATATAAAACAGAGCAGCTAATAAAATTTATCAAAAGATAATTACATAACCATAGACGGAGATAACGTGTCTCAAAATACGGTTTCAAAATACCAGTATGTCTACATTAGTCATCAAAAGTTTAACAAAAGTATG